GAGGAAAAATCACATTAATGCACCGAGAAGCTGGAGGTCTGGTGCAGCCTATGACGGCCGAGGCGAAGGGGCGCTGCTATCATTTACATGCTAATGGTGTTGGTGGAGACGGTGAGAAAGGGGCCGGGGCAGGGGGCTGCGCTGGGTTGCTGGTGGAGGATGCTGGGGTTTTTTGTTTTTTTTTTTGGAGGGCCACTGCGCGACACAGTGCATACGACCCTGCGGTGTGGAAAAACCATCTGCTGGTCCTCATCTGGTCCAGCCAGCAGGTCCATTTACACACTGCTTAATCAGACGTGTCTGTTGGACGCTCCTCCTCCTCCTCGTCTACTCTCCTCTGGCACACACACACACACACTGCCAGGCCTCTTTTCAAACACAAATTAGTCTGCCTTATTTCCTACTGCTAAGCTGCATGTGTCAGGCACCTGGTATTGGTTGACATTTGGAGATTCTGCTTGTCCGTTTCCACTGTCAGCATTAGGATCTGCTGCAGCTATTAGTAGACATCTGTGTGTGTGTGTTTTGAATTGCAATAACATGTATTTTACTTGTTCTTTATTAACACGCTACGTTACCGAGAGCAACATTCAAGGCTAGAATACAAGCAACCTTTACTTCTCTTCCACTCTCACTGTGTGGTGTAGGTGTTGTGTCCTCTGTTTAGCTGCAATCCAAAGGTTGGTGTGGGTGTACTGTAAGTTAGCTACCCAGAGGAAAAATAAGAAAAAGCCCAAGAATAGCCTCAAAGAGCCATGATTGAAGCGTGGCGGTAATAACACCAATCACCTGTGAAACAACCAATTATTGTGTGTGGTTGGGTGGAAAGCTAAAGTCAGTGGCATTTCAGAGACTCACCGAGGAAAATGCAAAGAGCCTGTACAAGTTTGGAACTTTTATTGTTGCTTTGTGCGCTTCAGTTCAAGGATGATGTGTTTTTTAAGGACCGCATATTCCTTCAAGATCTCTCACATTAATGGATCCACAAAGCTCGTCCTCCGGCGCCATAATGGCTAAAATCTCATAATGCAATAATTCCCCCGAAACCAATGTTTTTTATGGTTGACAGCCAGCGGGCATTTAGATTTAGAAAGCTTACGTCCCATATTTTTTCAGTCATATCGGCTAGAAGCAATCTGGGTCCGACGCTGGCCTACTTCTAGCCCACTATTTTGAGCAACCCTTTAGAAAGTATTAAACGGAGAAGAACAATGCAATTTTTGAGTGGCAGCATTATGAAATACTCTCGCAGATGAGAGGCACATCTGTCCGATGTGTTGGGGGAGAGGACTGCGGCGACATCAATCACGGGAATGTAGATTGTGATACTAATCAGCCCTCGACTGTTTCAGACAGAGAGGAAATAGAGTTTTATGATGCTACAGCCTCTTAACGTCACATCTGTAACGTCTCTGTAATTCCATCAGGACGGTGCGTACCTGAGCTGACATGATTTAAAAACATCCCCGTGTGCTGTCGTCAGAGTTTAAGTGATTGTAAAACCTCCACCGGACACTCGGGCCACCTGATGAATTCCTCACGTGGGTTTAGCTGTGCTGACCTTTGAATCAGGGACGTGGGTTCTCCACAGGCGCTCTTTCCCCCAGTGACACATGTCCACGAAAATAACAAAAACGTCTCTCGTCTCACGTTTAATATTCAGATAAAATGTCGAGGACCTCAAGTGGCAACACGACAACACATCCCTTTGACGTCAAACTCAATTTCCATGACTCACTCACTCTCGAAATAAATCACATCTTCTGTTGGGCAGCTCCCAAAAATAGTCAGATAAGAGAGAAATACAACATTAATCTTGTTTTTGCACAGTTCTTACAAGGCACAATACACCTGCCTGTTTCTGATGCTCCATTTGTCCTGCTTTTAAAATGAATTGAAATTCATGGGGTAAAAGATTTAAGGCTCTCAAATTGACTTTACTGGCTTTCAAGCTGAAAACCAGCGCAGGCTTTCCCGACATCCTCTGACTCCTTGATGTAATTAAGGTGGATTTAGACTTTCCCTCGGCGCATAAAAAACAGACAATTGCTTCGTTAATGGCCACCATCAAAAGCCTTAAAACTGCAGAAAAGTACGAAGACAATGGCTTTGTTTCAACGGAGAAATATTGCGTAAATGTAAACTAAATGAATCCATTCATCAGCGTAAATAATGGTTTTCATCGGTGAAGCAACCTCACTTAAGTGGCGAACAAATAGTCCTTATTTTAAACAAGCAGAAGGTGTATTATGTGCAAAATGATCGTTTGTACTGTGCTTTCTCCAGCCGCAGAGTAATCAGTGAATACAGACCAATTTACAACAACAAAGACAACTAATCACATTAAGATATTCAGCACCACTGTGAGTCACTCTGCCATCACAACAAAAAACACTCACCAGTTATTTTTTTTGTTTTTTTCACCAGAAGCAGTGAAAGGATGAATCACAGAGTAGCTTTAAGCAACAAAAAAAGTGAATACTTTCAAACACAGCTCTGTCTATCGACAGCAAAGCTTAAAGCTGTTGTCTGCAGTAAGCAGGGAGAAAGTCACGCTCTGTGTCTAAAAGGAAAAAGTGCTCGAAATCCATTTCAAAGACGAGGGCAGACACTGACGAAAAAAAGTAATGAATATTTTACAGGCAGGGAGTGCAGAGCTGCACTCCAGGTGACACTCTTGTGTTTATAGAGCTTATCAGAAACCCATCGCCCACAGAGCACAGCCAAGGCAAAGCCATGCGTCTGATTGTTTATCAGCAGACTGCTGGTGGGTTCCCCTGTTACCTGTATGCTTGCATAAGGCCAATCACAGGGACAGTGTGCTGTAAATTCAACAAAAATGACCCTATTGGAATGAAATGAGTGCTGCTGTTGAAGTTTAGCTCTGAATGTCTGACTATAGGAGGAAGCTGTACGCCTGCAGTACGGTGCTGGTTCCCTGTAGTATGCTGATATGGATTTCTATGATGTGAACTGTCAAATTATAAATTACATTAACCCCTTAGCGTCCACATTTTACCAGCAGTTTTTCCAGTGAGCTAAAGCGTCCAGCTCCACTCTGTGTGACAGCATCACATACCGTATGCAGCTTGTTCTTGCTTATTATTCAAGCTGTGCAATGTCATGTTCAAACGCAAAACTGTGTGTTTTTTCCTGCTTAAACTTAAGCTCTGCAGCTTTAAACAAAGCTTGGCTCTGCAACCTGAGCTGCCACTGGCCACTGACACACTGAGTCGGGTTTAACCCTTGTATGCATGTTTTTTGCTGTTGTTTTTTTTACTACATTTCAGGGATCTTTAGAGATCAGGTCTTTTACACTTTTAGATTTGGTTGTATCTACTTTTACCTTGGGCCTTTAGAGATTAACCCCAGTTAGTATGTCATAGGAACACAAATGCATTTGGGTGGAGAAATCATACAGTAAAATTAACTGCTAGAGTACCGTTTGTGGTCATAAAAGATTATAAACAGGCATGTATTTGGAAGACAAAGCTGTGAATGACACTAATCTCTGTCCTGCATGTAGTCACACACCACTAGGGTGAAAATTTGCACTAATAAATGAACTGTTAGAATATTTTGAGGAAATTCCTGCCTGTTCCCCTTCAGAGAACATGTATTTAAATCTTTCTAATTCTTCTCTTCTTATTCAGGTAAGACCCTGCTAATACTCCATGTTTCCATTTTGTACCTTAACATCTCCTTTGAGCTTTGGGGTTTTTCTGCTCATTTTGTCTGGTTCCCCCGGAGAGAAAAGAGCAGCTGTATGAAATTAAAAAGGGAACCTCCTTTGGAAAGTAACGCGTTGGTGCGCGGATCAAATTGAAAAAAGTCGAGCTGACAACATCTCCACAGCTTGTGCGACTCGAGCTGTGCCAACCCTGCCTGTGAAGCAGTCCTTGAACAAGGGCATTTTTTGATTTGGTGCGTGTCTTCCTGCTCGGGCTCTCACCGCTCAAGGTGCCTGCCAATTGAATGACTTTGCTGCGAGGGATTAACAGTAGCGGCGATCTCTTCATGAAATCTGTCTGCAGCGTTTGAAAAATTATTTCAAAAATGTTGAACTACACACCACGGCGCGTCTGCACACGCCGAGTTGGTCCTAAGACTTTACATGTGCTTGCATCATCATCCTTTTAATTGAGCTTCCTCTCCTCCGCCTGTCGCTGCACTCCCTCCACGCATTCTCTCCCATTTTTTTTTTCCTTCTTCTTCTTCTTCTCTTTCTCCTCTTCTTCTCCCACTCTATGCCGCCTGCTCTCCAGCATTCAGTTGCACACTCCTCCTCTTCATCGCCGAGCAGGATAGTGAATGTACATTTATATAAACTGATTAGCATTTCATCCCGGCCTTGGTTTTCTCTCTGCACTAGCGGAGTACAAAGAATCGATAGAGACAATGCAAGGGGAAAAGAGAAGCGTGGAGAAATCAATCTCAACTTGCAGTCAAGGTGAGAAAGGCACTTGCATGGGCTCTCATAAAATCAGCTGCTAGACAAAGTGTGGAGAAGACAGTCTGGGAGGAGGCCCAGAGGACATGGCAGGGCTTTACCTCTGGCTGCTGTGGATCAGTCAGAGGAAGCTCAGGTGTCGGAGGTGGAGGGACTTGAGTCAGTACTTTATATCTTATATAAAACTAAGGCGCAGGTTCATCTTTTTATTGCATCCAGTCTTCCGCTCTTCCATCGCAACCTCCTCGCTTTTGTTTGATTTTATCTCTTTAAAACACGTCTTCCGTGCGAGTGCAGTGAAGGTCGCAAAGGTGGGAAACACAAAAACCGAGAACATTCCTCCAGACATTTCGGAGGAGACATCCACGGCTAAAGTAGTGACTCAATTTAAGTGTACCTCTCACTTTACTTTGCTATTCCAACTCAGCTCTGGAGAGCATTAGTCATCCGTGTGTCATGTGGAGGACGTTTGAGTGCATTTCAAACCAGATTTAAATCTTAAAAATGTCCACACTGGCCTAAATAAACAAACCGAGAGAGAGAAAAAAAGTGAGTTTCATTAAGATTTATTCATATGAAAATAATAATATAACAATAATAAGAACATAATGTATGTTTTAAACTGCATTAAGAGGGACTGTGTTCAGTGTGATGTCGAGGGCTGTCCCTGAATTTAACACCTTATTTGAATAACTGATTCAGGATTCGTCGGCTGTTTGAACACACTGAGTTGTTGGATTGGAATTTGACATGAGGGACTTTGTAATTCAATGCAGTCATGCAAAATGCCTTTTTTTGTCTTTTCTTTTTTTACATCTAGTGTTTGTAGCATTGCAGCAATACATAATTGTGAAAAATTGTGTGATTTTTTTACTGACAACTCCAGTAAATAACACACAAAAAAAGAAAGAAAAGACGCAGCCCAGCTTCATTTTATTCACTTACTAATAAGGGGCTGTCTGATTTCTTATTAAACCATGTCAATCACAACATCACAACACGTATTCAGCATCCTATCGCTTACTGTAATCTCCTTTTGAAAGGTGCATTAAGTGACTTTTTTTTGCCCCAAAGCACAAACAACTGTGACATACTAGTAAAGGCTACCCTGAACTTCTTTCTCAGACTCCTTCTGTCGCCATGAAAAGATATTTTAGCCCCCAAAGCAAATAACAATGCAGGTTTATTATTATTATATAGGTTTATATGTATAAATTAGATATATTCCCTCTGTGTTATGTGTCTTACTAGTCTCTTGCGTGACAACGTCACTCCTACTTTTGTCATTGTCGTCGTGCCAGAGACACGTCCATGCTGTTTAATTTCTTGGCTGCTAATAGAGGTCACTCCAAGTCATGTTTTGCTTAACGCCCCAATTAACCCTGAACACCACTGCAGCTCAGTTCAGCCTGACCAGAAGAGGTGGTCAGGCTCAGAAGAATATGTAAATGTCTGATAAAATGGTTTTAGAAGGTACGTCCTTGGTCTTCGCTGGCAGGTACAGTATAGGAATGTGCTTCTGTGTAATCCTTGATTGTCAAACACTGACCTACGTACTTACTTACCTAACGCCTGTGATGGTGTCAGTAAAGTGCAGACAAACTGTGGGCCAGAAACCTTTTTTATTAATGTGGTAAAAGCAGGTGTGTCCTAGCAGCGCTGAGCTGGGTAATTAATGGGTTAAAAGGCTGATGTGCTTTAGGCCCATGAGAGGTAGCTGGCCTTGTCGCTATTATGCTGAAGTGTCAGAATTACTAATATGTGTGGGTGGAGCCACTGACCAGAGAACAAGGAATGGCATGCTCATTTGCCACTTGAATGCTGAATTATACTAACGTCTGACAGATTGACAACTGCAGAACACTAAGAATTACCTAACTGCTCATTATCATCAGAAAACATACTTATACCACCTTTGTTCATACATAATTTAGCTCCAGTAATATATACCTAAAGAGAAATCTCAGAGGAAAAAAGTCTCCCTTTTTTTTTTTTTTGTTCTTTCTTTCCTCTGAAGTGCACCTACTCTAGATTCTTTTTTGTATTTTCGGTTTTTCACCGTATAACCATGTACAGGAGGTCTTTTTGGTCCACTGTGCATGTACTTGATATTCTTGTGCTTCCTCCGTTATTTTAATAAGTTCTAGAAATTCACTCCATGCAGAGGATGTGGACAGAGGAGAGGCTGTGGCAGACTGTAGGCGTACAGTCCCCGGCCACCTGCAGGAAAACAAATTTGACTCAAAACAACCCGGCAAAGCCCTGCTGCAGTGTCACAGGGGGGTTTATTTCCTATTGGTCCAGTAAAATAAATCCTCTAGTGTTATTGTTAAATAATACGATTCTGCTCTGGAGATCTTCCGTCACAGATTGGCGTCCACGTTGACGGCACGTCAGTTACACAGTTGTTTCGATCTTTTCGATGATCTCTATCATGGACTTGGAGGGGGAGAGCAGAGAACAGTCGTCCTGATCCCAGAGGCTGCCGGGGCTGGAGTTTCCATCTGTGCTCAACTCGTCGTCCTCCTCCTCCTCGCTCTCCTCCTCGCAGGACTCCAGGTAGTGCAGACCCAACGCGTTGATGCCGGAGTCCTCGGAGCTGGACGGAGAGGAGCAGTGGTCCATTTTGGGGCCTTTTATCTTATCCACAGGGGAGGGGTGTTTGTGTTCACTGTACACCTGCTGGACCGGCTGCGCGGGAGCAGGCGTGTGTTGGGTCGGCGGCGTCGGCTTGACCGGCTGCCGAGGCTGACTTGGATTTTGGGGCATCTGAGGCGTAGCTGGAGCCGGCGGGGGAGGAGTCGGAGGACGAGGAGGTTCCGGCAAGGGAGGCGGGGGGCGCTGCACGTAGCACATCTTCCCGTTGATGCGTTTGACAATGTAGTCGTCCACAAACAGGTCCGCGATGACGCAGTACTTGGGCGACTCCAGGTGAGGCGGGGACTGGAAGCAGGGGGCGAGCTTCAGGAAGCGCTCGGCCAGGGAGACGGACAGGTCGATGGTGCTGCTGCACTCTGAGCCGACGGGTGGCACGGTGGTGCTGGGCAGCTGGCACACATTGGTCATGGGCTGGTAAACGTACTTACCTAAAGGTGGAGAAAAAGGAAAAAAAAATACAGAAAACCATTATTTCATGTCAGATTAGAGTATTTATTTTAAATATTGCAGCGGTGATTTTACTTGTGTGGTGAAAAGTTGATGCAAATATTGACAATCCTAGAAAAAAAAAAGAAAAATCCTCCCCTGTACTTGGAGTTCCCTTCAGCTCTAAAGAGTGTTTACTGATTTACTCTCATGTGCAGCTGTCGACAGTAGGCAGTTGTTCTCAGTTAAAAAAAAATACAAATCTCTTGAAACCCACTAGACTACCCGCCAAGCACCAAACAACAAGCAGACAAAGTTAGCTGGTGTGGAGTGAGCAGCTAATGACTCCGATCATTTCCACAGGAGCTGGTGAACGCAAACACAGGGTTAAAAAGGAGAGAAAACATTACACTTATTATATTCATCAGGTACACAGAAACACGACTTTTAATGAATGCTAATGTTGCTCCGCGCCGGCTGTATGTTTGAACACACCACTATCTGCTAATATGTTGATGTTATTATAATGTATTGAGATAAAAGGTGATAAAATGTCAGTGTGAAAAAACGACTAAGTGCAGAAATAAATAAATAAAAACCACAGAAATCCCAGCAGCAGCGAATGCATTCAGTCTGAAACTTGCAAATCGTGTTCTTATCCTGTGTCCCTGCATGAACTCTTCCGTTCTACCTGCACGTTTAGGTATTTACACATTAATACAACTAAAATGCTCTCTTCCCGTAAAATGTCAGTAATAATGGTAATAATATAAACGTGTATAAACACATGTTTTTAGTCAGTCTTCGTCAAGGACACAATTTTTGAATCTTGTGTGTGTGATAACCAATCATCTGTTCTTTCTTGGGGACGGTAGCAATTTTCACATCACAAAGCTTTTTGTGCTGCCAAAGGCAAAAAATACCTTTCTTGCTGCTGCCACTATCTGAGGTAGAGCTGCAGCCAGATTGAAAGATGGTTTAAATTTAAGGCCATCCAGCGCAGGGCAGCCATCATTTCTGACCATTCGAAGCGGAGGAAAGACTCATTTCAAACACGATAAAATTACGTTCGCGATTAAGGCACTGCGGCGATGTCCGCTGCTCCGAAATGATGATATAGTGCTGATTCACATCAACATTACTGGTACAATGGTGTAATCTGTAGTGTGACATCAGTTCTCGATAAGATAAAGGTTGTAAATTTGCTCTGGAAAGTGGCCATAACACCTCTCGTGTGAGCGATGCCTCCCATTTTTGGCAACTCATGCACTGGTGGTGATAGTACAAAATAAATGCTCCCAAATGTTACTCACTGTTTGCAGCCCACAGACTCCAACTCTGAGCTGTGCTGCCTGAATAGTGAAGCTCAGATGTGTGTTTAACTGGCTCCCAGGAGGGAGACAGAGAGAAACTACAGAAGATGACAGGCCTACGCATCACTTCCTCTCACTCTGTGTCCTTGTCTTTTGTTTCACTGGCTGGGGGATCCATTCAATCACAATCTTTTCCCAGGTTACACTGACAACATCAAACTACTTCAAAGTAGGGAAGTGACTCTCCTTTGTGTTCCTGAATGGACAAAGCGAGTATGTAATGTTGAACACTTTTTTTTTTTTTTTAACTGCACACAATATACAATGACCAGCCACAACAGTAAAACAACTGACAGGTGAAGTGAATAACTCTGATCATCGGTACAATGCGATGTTCTGCTGAGAAATCCTGGGTCCTGGCATTCAGGTGATGCTGCTTTGACACGTACCACCCACCTAAACATTGCTGCAGAGCAAGCAAACACCTCGCACGTCCCTGACAGCCTCCCGCAGCAGGACATTGCGCCCTGCCACACTGCAAAAACGCCAGAGGAACAGCTTGAGAAACAAGACAAAGGCACTGACCCACCCTCCAAACTCCCCAGATCCTAATCTGATCGAGCATTCATTAAATGTGTCAGAACAAGCCTGATCCGTTGGTAACATCCTGGTGTCTGACACCACAGGGCACTCTCAGATGTATCGTGTCCGTGCCCCCCGACAGTTCAGAGCTGTTTTGGCAGCACAACAAGGTTCAATGTTGGGGCTGATCAGTGTATTTAGTTTAACAGATCAACTGCACAATCACAGATTAGCTCTAATGAAATTCATCTGACCAATTCGTTATTAAATGACACAAAACTGCATCATCCACCCACGCGAGGCGATTGAAAGCGGCCGTGACTGACGCTTTACGTCAGCAAACTAGAATATTGTCACCATAAAACACGGGAGCTTGTGTCGACGCTGACAATAGGAGGGAAATAGTAGCCGTTCTCAGTTTAATGAGAGAAACTCAATGGTCCATGTTCAGACAGAGATGAGCCCATTCAGGCAGACAAGATAGCAGCAACAAATGAGAGCTAAAGCGGTAGAAGCCGATGTGTTGACATTTAGTTTTTAGCATATTACATCTAATTGCATTCATCCATCTGGAGTTTCAAATACCAAGAGCAATACTGGGGGACAGACAGATGCACAGTCGGACAACAAAGCAGGCAGACATATGGAGCTGACACCACACCAGCACTGGTTGTCTTCAGCAGCCATGCAAAAGGAAAACAGAACATCTGTGAATTCGCAAGGTGTCTGCACTTAGTTAGACATATTTCTGTGCATATGCGTGCAACTGATGTTAGTTACAGTAGTTTGGCAAAAAAGAAAGAGAAGAGAATCTTACTGGAAAGCATTTCTGTCTTCTAATACCTGGACTGGAAGGAGGGTAAAAAAAAAATAGAAGGCTGCACGCCAGAGAACATCAACATAGACTGAACAATGCAATGATTTAAAATATTTAAAGGTTTTGTGTGCAACATTCAAATCCACCGTCCCTCAAGAACCAGCATCTTGGACCAAAACAACACACCGGCCACACCTAGCCCCTCCCTTCACGTTTTGTTTGCAATCAAATAGAATGTGAACACAAGAGTCAAGAAATGAATGGACCGGAGCAGATGTGTGGAAACTGACACACAAAGACCGGAGAGAAATCTGACAGGTAGAGTAGCATAGATGAGCTGGAAAACAGCAGTAGAGCAGCTTGCACTGAGCTCATATGAATCAAGTGTGCATAAATGTGGTAAATAACATGAATAAAATAATTAGTTTTTTGATTTCTTAGTGTTTTTAGGGCACTGTCTAAACCCTGGACTGCACTTTTGCTATTTGAATGTGGTGTGAAAGATCACTGTCTGTTTATAAGTGCAGGGACGGTCATCAGTTTCAATACACACAATGGTTGAAGTAGCCATTAAAACATAGAACAGAGGTGCTCAGATTATGAAACACGGAGGAAATTTGATTTCATTTTCTGACACCATGACTGGGCTGCAAGGTGGGGCGGTGGTTAGGATCATTGCCTCGCAGCTAGATGGTCGCCAGTTCGCGTCCCAGTGAGGACACCCAGGATCTTTCTGCGTGGAGTTTGCATGTTCTCCCCGTGCAGCGTGGGTTCTCTCCGGGTTCTCTGGCTTCCTCCCACACAGTCCAGAAACATGTTGAGGTTAATTGGTGATTCCAAATTGTCTGTAGGTGTGAATGTGAGTGTGCTTGGTTGTCTGTCTCTAAGTGTAGGTCCAGGTGTCCCCTGTCTTCACCCTGAGTCAGCTGGGATAGACTCCAGCCCCCCATGACCCTAGTGAGGATTAAGCGGTGTATAGATGATGGATGGATGGATGGACACCATGGCTCCACTCTATCTTTACGTACCAGAGCGTTGTTTGCTGCTATATTGTTGCTACATTCATGTTCAAAATTGTGTATATTGCACCTTTAAAAAACACATTTAGTGCAAAGATGCAAGAAAAAATTAACTCCTGTATCAAAATGTTGGTTGCTGTAAATGTCTATATGTGTATTAACCAGTGATTGGACTCAATGATACAAACAGGAAGAGCTAGACAGATGAGCAAAGGTACGTGCGTGATTTCCACTGTAGTTCACTGATAGATGAAAAACAACACCGCCTTGCAGCAGGGGAACTCTATCCGAGCAGCTGTATTGATATTGAGCTGTACTCTACCCTTGTGTTGCCCGGTGCCGAAGCCCTCGCACGACAATGTCAGCTGTTAGGCGGCCTCTGCACTTGCTCTCCCTGCCCCCGTGTGTGTTTGTATTTCCATACTAACAAAGACCAGATGTCCTCACAAAGAAAGGACAATTAGCAAAATTCCCCATGCTGAGGAGATTTAGCCGTCTTTCACTTATAGTTTAGGGACAGAGCAATATTCAACATTTTTCTTTTTTTTTGTCAGTAAAACAGACCAAATCCAACAATATGCGACTGCGTGTACAGCGAGTGATCACGGTAATGAAGAAACATGCCACCCAGCGCAACGTTGCGGTTTATTGATGTGTTTAATAGTTTTTGGACAACAATGGAATGAACAATGGAGTAATAATCTACAACAGGCTTTGTCTACACAAGCAAAACTTGTTAATAGGATTAATTCCTCGCTGTTTTTGCTCTTTCTTCGGGACTTGCTAGCAATAAGAAAAAAGTTGCAGTATTATCCTTCAATAGTGAGGGTTAAAAGACAAATCCGCCATAAAAATTGTGGGGGAAAAAAAGCATTTGCTGGTGACGCATGTTGCATCATTTGTCCTTTGTGTTGTATCGGGGTATATTTTCTCGCTGCTGGAGACAACCGGCCAAACATAGACAACATGATGTCACAAGATATTTCTGGTCCTGCTACAAATGAAGATCGACTGAATAGAAAAACAACAATAGCATCAAAAGTAAATGTCAGATGTTTTAGTCAGTTCTTCGGAATCAAACATTGGCAGCTTCTCTGCACACACACAATGTTTTCTGCTGACAGCAGCCTCAATTGACCAGCCGCAGGACACGTTGCGCTTTGAATAAGGAGAATGACTCTTTCTCGACTGGAAAGCCTTTCATCACATTACAATTAAATCCCACTAAAAGCATCAAGTTCACTGGGGACTGATGAAAGACGTTCTGGGAG